TGTTTGAATACAAAATAAAAACCTGTTAAGAATTAATTTTCTGTTGATTAACTAATCAATTAATTATCACTAATGACTGCAGCTCCTCTAATTTGTTTTGCCAATTCCATTTCAAAGAGACGTCAAACCTGGACGGCGTTTCCTGGAAACATGTTTTCCAGTGTACGTGCTGTAAGTGCTGCATTTTTGCACTGCACACAAGTCAAGTGAAGGGAGGTGTAGGGTGGATGGCGAGCATACACAATGGAGGACTTTCAGGCGCGAGTGTGAGGTTTACATCAGCGCGGTTCCATTTAATGCAAGTGCATTTGGCTGAGACTTGGAAAGGACTGCAGTTTTGATTACATGTTCATATAAAGTCATCTCCTCCTGACTCATGCTTGAAGTCAGATGTGATTGTGGCCAAAGTGCTGTGACAAGCAAAGAATAACCATGAAAAACTAATGCTTCAGTTTCTACATGCAGATCATATTTGCATTGCTAGAGCAGATACGGCAGGAAGACAAGTGAAATATGTTACCGTGTGAACATTTACTGGAAACGCTCAGTAGCTACATTGCCTCGGCAAATGCAGTCATTAACAAGGTTTCCTCATTATGTGGGGAAAAACATAATCCAGGCAGCACGATGGTTCCTACAAAACAAAACATATGATACTGAGATTTCTGTGTATGTATGTGTAATGTCAGTACAGCCAGGGCAGTCAAATCAGTGTGTGGCAGTTGCTTTAACCCACAGTTCATTCAGATTTTAATTTACCACTTTTAACTCCATACATCTGTTCTACCACACAGTCATTCACCTACATAATCATAAAACCTATATCAGTGACAAAGAATGGATTTATGTGGTCTGTGTACAAAGACAAATGTTATCTCCTTTTCTTTAAGGTTTCTTCAGACGCAGTGAAATTTGAAATATAGTATATTTTGAAGAAAGGCTGCAGTTTGACAGCTTTAGCACAGACCTGGATCTGAGGGGTTGAACTGCTGAATACAGTCACCACACTCATTTCTGATTCAAGAAGCTAATATATGTACCCAAAAGACTAATTAATGTAAGACTGGTTACCATAAATCCTAATTATGGGCATAATATGCAGTGAAATACTGCCTTCTCAGTGGTAACTGTGCAGAGATTTTTTTCTTCTTAATTGAAATGGAAAATGTAGGCCAGCACTGTTATTACCTCTTTAAATTAACACATCTGTAGGACACACCCCTCCCCTCGCAGCTCGCTTACACACTGTTCCTCTTTTTTTTTTTCCTCTCTCCTTCGTCTCATTTTGTTTCTTCGCTGCTTCCTACTTTCCTCTCCTCTCTCCCTTTCCCTCCACTCCTTTTTCTCTACATTCTCCCTCTCCTTCTCTGCTCCCCCATGCAGTAATATGATCTCGTCTATCAGGCCGACAGAGCCGTGAATCAAAAGACACACAGAGAGAAATATAGTACAAACCTTGGTGAACCAACCCCCACTACTCTCTCTCTCTTTTTTTCTCTGTCACTCTTTTTCTCTCTCTCTCTCTCTCTCTCTCTCATCTACAACATCCCTACCCCCAACAACCCTCTCTTACTCTCTCTCTCTCTCTCTATATCCAGTCCCTACCCCCAACCACACTGATTGCACTCTCTCCACATCCACAGCCTCTATCTTCTATCTCTCCTTCCCTCTTTCTGAAACAAACCCACTCACTGGCAACAACAGCAACAGTATAGAGCCTTTCTACGCATTGTGTGATTCAGAGCTTAAAAGCTGCAGCTTGGTGTACAACACAGTGAGTTTCACCATCCAACACAGAAAATAATCGAGTTAATAAAGGCATGGATGCAATCTTTTTTTTTATTAATGCCCAATCAACATGTATTCAGGTCAGAGATCACAGTGAATGACAGACCTTGGAAAGGGTCAACTGCTTTGTCCCAATTTCTATTGCATACAACCTGCATCCAGTATGTACAATAGTGTCATAATGTGCAGTTTTTACACTGTAGAGATCAATGAATCTTCAGAATGATATTGTCAATTTAATCTAACAACATGGTTTTGCTAAAATGTATGTTTCGCCTTCTCTCCGCTTTATTTCACTTCCAGCTGTGGCAACCTCATTTCTTTTGCACACCGCACTGTGGAACGTATTACTACATAAAGTATACGGACGAAAGATTTTAGTGACTAACTGTCAGTCAATTAATTGCTGTTACTAATTTAATTGATTAAAAATATATCAACCTCTCATGAATAGAGCTGCAACGACGGATCGAGTTGCCGTCAACTATTAAATCGATCACCAACTACTTTGATAATTGAGTCATTGGTATGAGTTTGTTTACCAAGAAAGATCAAGATTCTCAGATTCCAGCGTATGCTTTCTTTAGTCTCCTACAAGAAAGCAGCTAAAGACTAAAGCTGCAAAGATGATTTGAATAATCCATGAGCTTTTAACTTTCAAATTAATTTTACACCATTTTGATAATCAACTCATTAGTTTATTTGTTTTGCCAAAAAAAAAAAAAATCTAAATTCTCTCATTTCAGCTTCTTCCTGTCTCCTCCTCTTTAACTATTTTCTGGTTTCCTTCCTCCTCTATGACAGTAAACTGAATATCTTTGGGTCGTGGACAAATCAAAACATTTAAAGAACATTATCTTGGCCTTTGGAAAACACTGACCAACATTTTTCGCGATGTACTGACTTTTTTATGTTGTTGTTTTTAAACCAAACAACTAAATAATTAGCAGAGAAAATATTCGACAAAGGGTGTGAGGTGTTACTTCCGTGTTATACTTCCAGTCAGTACACAACGGTTTACTGGAGTCAGAGTTTTCAGAGTGATGTAACTTTTGTCATTTGCCTAACTCCACGAGAGACCACGCTGAACCCTCTTTGGACATGCAACCCAACCACACTACAAAGGCTGTGTTGTTATTGTAGGGAAAAAATAGACACTGACCTACTGTGCATGTATGGAAATTGTCTTCTAAATAGAATCCAAGGGGACTAGAAAGAAGTCTAACACCAATACCAACAACTAGGCTTCTGCAGTTGAATGTGTCCACAAGGGAGTGTAATCGACTGTAAAAACAAATGTGCTGTAGATTTGTTGCATCACCAGGTGAAGCTTAATGAGATAAAGTTACAGGTCTTTTTGCTGGTCGCCCGAACGGGATGCGCAGATTTCAAAACTAACCTTGCTTCCATCCAAGAAATTAAAACGTGGTGTTGATGAACACTACAGCATAAAATTGTGAAAATGCCTGTGAATTTTGAAAGCTAGCTAATTATCCAACGCTGACGCTAAAGCTAAAGTGGGCACTCTAAAAGTTAATAATGGTCAAAAAAGTGTGTTTCTTTTAAGTTTAATAGACTATTGGTAGTTAATGTTCCCAACTATTGTATAAGTTAATTGTTCTAACAGATGTAGGTAAACAATTCTGTACATCAGCAAACCAGTCATAACACAATACACACCCAAAACCTTATATATAATATGCTGCTAAAGTCACTACAGCACTTATGCAGACGCTTGCTGGCGAAAGGTTTGATCCCAGCGGGTTTCTTTGGAGGGTAAAGTTTTGTAATCACAACACTGCACATTGTTGATGAGAGCAGGACTACCATCCCATCCTGACAGTGATTTAGTGAGTGAACAGAGAGCAGGCAGTGAAGGATCAGACAACCGACATGTGAATAATCCAATCAATCACAAAGTTGTGCGCCACACAGCCAGTGATGACAGTATACTCCGATATTCCTCAGTCCACTAAATCCATGACACATGAGACAGATTAGGATTTAAAAAACAGCGAGCAAAAGGGCAGAAAGTTATGCGACAGAGTTCGGTTAAGTCACTTCAGAGTTAACAAAGCAGAAGTCGAGGCTTAAATCATGGTTGTGGTCCCTCAAAGGTCACAGGGCTGCTTTTGCTGTTCCCTCACGTACTATATATTTAAATAAGCCTTTGTCCATTAATTAAAACTACCGCACTCACTTTTGAATTCAGAGAAGATTTTGACGTGGATACTCCGACTATTTTGCTTTCCATTCTTTAGCAGCATAAACATATTTACGTATCATTTCAATCAACCTAATTAAACATAACTGAAAATTAAACTGAGAGATGCGGCTTGCCATGATTTTGCAGGTAAACGAGTCTGATGGTACATTCCTGTGTTAATTTCAACATTTAACACTACCACACTACAAAATGAACCCATTATATTGCGCTAAGATTGAAGAGAGGTTAATAATCTGTTGTTAACTCTACTGGCTGCACTCATCAGCTGAAACCTAATTAAATAATTAAGCAATTCATCACTGTCAAATGAGCATGGTAGCCAGACAGCTCACTCTGAGAAGCATCCCTCTGCATAGACAGATAGTTAATCATGTATTGAAAATTACTTGTGATCCGAGGACTCATCCATCCTGTTTAAGAGGTGTCTTATTGGGAGACACTGCTGGGTCCAGTTGTGAATCTGACCCTGACCTTTGGCTTTGGGCTGGAGGGCCAACAGAGCTTCCCAAACACCATTTAACTAAAGCATAACAAGAGGTACGCATCAGATACAGTAAATCAACTATTTTTAAGCATCACAAAAGATGAGCTGTGCATGTTCTTCTCACTTCTGCTCGCCGTGTACTTCAGTCTAACCGCATCTCTTCAGTTTGGAGCGAAAACGTGGAACATATTTAAACTTGATTGCATTTCTGTTACCCGGTGGTGAAGTTTTAATTATAGGTGTGATTACAAGAGTGGAGACAAAACTCGGGGTAAAATTACAGGCTGTGTATCATCTAGTGAGGGGATTTGACGAAAAGAGACTGAAATGTAGTTACCTTCAACAGCTGCGTTAATTAACTGGAGCCTAATAAGGCAATTAATTAACACTTAATTGGCAGGGCAAGAAAAAACGAGCACACATCGAGGAAAGATAGCCAAGACAGTCAGAGGAGGGGAACAGAAATGTAGGGGTTTTTTTTCCCCTGGTGGTGGTCTTTACCTTGCTGGTTCCGAAGGCCGGGTCAGGGTAGGAGAGCTGCCCCAGCCTGGTGTGGTCCGAGGCGGCCAGAGACTGAGGAGGAGGCGGGTAAACGGTTACATCCATGGCTGAAAATACATCCACTTCTCCGCCTGTTCTTTATGTCTGTCCGTCCTCTGTGTTCGTCAGGAGCCACTAAAACTAAGCTAACTGTTCAAAAAAATAACAGAAAGGTTCGTAACGAGTCCCTCACACAGAAACAAGAAAAAAAAAAGCTAAAGATAAGTTCGTGAAGTTAGCTTAAACCGAGCTTTGAGAGTGAGTTAAGTTGATGCTCTTCTCTACACACCGGCTCCGGTAAGTGCCGCTCTGAGGAGCAAAGTTCCCGGTTAACGTTAAAAGAGAGGAGGGGGGGTGGGCGAACGGTGGGCTTTAAAAAATAAAAGCTTTTTTCCCCTTCCTTTTAGTCGGTGGTATCCAGCCGCGGTGTGTTGTTCGAGACAGGGGGGGACGGTGTCGAACCCTGTCGGTGTGTCTGTCCCTGCCTGGGACTCGGTGTTTTAACGCTCCTCCGCCGCTTCTGCTGCTGCTGCTGCTGCTGCTCGGTGTGCTCGGTGCTGAGGAGCAGGCATACAAAGAGCTGCTCCGACAAGCTAGCGGCGCTTATCAACGACACACACGGATGTACTTGTCCCCATTAAGTAACATCATCACCGCTGTCAGGAGGAAAACTGCAGCTTGGAGACGACAAAGGAACTTGTTAAAATTATTTGTAAAATTTCTGCAATCATCAATATTGATATTCGACGCTGTTTTGGGATTTATTGTTGGAGAAGTCGCCATTCGCTGTAGTTTTATTTTGGTAGTACCCGACACTGCTGTATCCGTTTACGTCTAACTTGACGAGTTGACGGATTGAAAGGCAGCATGTGCTCCATCTAGAGGGGGAGAGCGTCCAAAAGGTCCAGCCAGGTGTTTCTGTGCACTGTTCAATTAATCAATCAATTAGGAAATAATTAGTGAAAAAACTGTCAAAACTGGCAGCAAGAGTGTCACAAAAAAAACGTTAAAAAACGATGAAATACTATGATGTTCAAAAACCAAAAATGTTGAAAAATAACGTAAAATATATGTAAAATATTTACATTTTTAGCTGATTTTTTAAAAAAAGAATAAACTGCTATTTGTAAAAATACATATTTTTGACATAGACACGTTTTCATACAGTTCTGGCCTAATTTGTAGTCTTTTTTTTTTTTAAATTACACTTTATTACAGTTAACATGTAAATAATACTTATTACCTGTAATTTAACAAGACAGGAAAAATAATGTAGAATAATAATAAAAAATTCAATTCCACATATATATAATTTTTTCTTTCAAATAAGGGCAAATACCTGTAAAATAGTGATTTTGTAGCTGATTTAAATGCACTAAAACAATGTAATTTTATGGTCACATGCTGTAAAAGAACAAAATACTATGTCAAAAAATAAAGTTTGTTTGTTTTAGGGTTAGCATATAAATGAATACTTTCCTTTAGTGATTTTTAAGAGTAATTATCTTTCATTTAACAAAACAGGTAAAGTTTTAGTTTTATTCAAAAACAAACTACCATTAACAACGGTCACAAATGTTCCCTTTTTAAAGTGTATTACAGCCTATTGGGCAAAAAAAATCAAAATTTTTAACAGTTTTTGACGTTAGCTTTGTTTACTGACTATTTTCTATTGTGTTACAGATTTCCCCTGCTTTGTTAAATTAGTTAAATGGAGGGGTAAGACACCAGCAAAGAAAAATATCCTTAATATTGTGTAAAAGGCCTTAGATGACCAGTTCCAGAGATGTCTGATGACAATACCAGAGATGTAGTATGTAGACGTGATAGTAGTAGATAGTAATGGGATGCTAATGTTAATATTTACGCAAGTGCATTCACTGCTTTGACAAGTAATGATTGCTGTTAAAAGGGTCTATTGTAATCACACAGTGGATTCATTTAAATAGAGCTGGGTTCAGACACATTACCACAGAAACCATGGTAGAAACCACAACAGTGAACCTACAGGATGATGATCACTTGGAGGTTACAGAGTAAATACATACAAATAGGTGGAGGAAAGAGGCCATTCTTATGCCGCAGGACTTACAAACAGGACGTCCTGTGAGGCTCATGCCAGTCTGTGTTTTAGGTTGTCTAATTCTGACCCCACAAAAGAAAACTAAACTTGTGCTTCTCTTCTTTTGTCTTCCTCCCTCCTCTGTCTGAGCTGACCCAGACGTGGGTCGTGGCGTTGGATCCATGATCAACTATCTGCCAGCCAGGCCTCCTCCATGGATCTCTAGAGAGCTTTTGAGAGCTGGAGGCAGCACAAAGCCCTGAAGAGACTGCAGGTCCATCTATCAAGCTGGAACTACACTATTGTTGCTCTGTATTCTCTTGATTACATACTTTTCTTGCACCAACATGAAGACAAAGAACAACAGTCATATGTGGACCTAATGACATACATTCTGCCTCCGTGAATGCCGGCATCAAAACGACCACCTAATCCTGCTCAGACAGGAGTGTCCTTGAGATTTATGTGGCTGAGGTGTGATAAAAATTCAGCTTATGGTTTGTGCAGAACACTCTCAGTGGCTCTCTTCAGTCCTCCACTGTGATTATGTCATTATTTTAATGCCAGCTGCTGTTTCCTCAGCAAGAGACTGAAGCAAGATTTCCATGAGATGAAGCTGATTAGGGCTGCACTTGTCCACAATGTGTCTTCACAAGGAGAAGCTCTAATGCAAGGTTCAGACTGCAAAATAGTGTAGTTTGATAAGATGGTTATTGTGCTAGGTAATTATAGAGGTTTAAATTTTACTGACTTGGCAGAGAAGAATAACAGACTAGAAATTGATTACAATTAATCAGAGCTTTGGCCTACTGTGTTTGGAGACCTGTGTGATGTCAGACTTTCACAACACTACAAGTTGTCTGTCTTTTATCTTTTGCTTGTCACAGAACATGTTGGTAAAAATTATCATGTGATTTGTCAAAAATTCTTTTCAGTGATGCAGCATCCGTTGTCAGCCACTGTGAAATTCTACATGAAAAAAAACCAAAAAAAAAACAACAGCCAACACCCATTTTCGGCCCAGATGTGCTATATTTTTTGGGTGTGGTTAATGTCAGGCCAGTTGTGAAACCTAAACCCAGCATGAGATGATGCCTTGTGTTTTATTGTGGTTAAACGTTTCTGCTCTGACTTGTGTTTGTCAGCATGTGTTTACTGATCCTGGTCCACTGACCCTGTGTTGCAGACTGTACAGACACTACTACAGACACTGATCTTTGGGCAGCTTCTGATCACCACATCCTGAGCTTCCTCTTAAAGCAGAGCTGGTAAACTTCAAAGCATTACCAGCAGCAGTGGTGTGTCAGTGGCTAAAGTGGAAGTTCTTGTTCTGGACATCATCAGAGAGTTAAGCCAGTCAGTGCTTTGGAGTTTTGTACCTTAGGCTTCATCAGAGCAGTTTGTAGGGTGCTTTCAGAAACCTGCACCCCTGTACAATTCTAATCCTGGAGGCTGCACTTGGCCATTTTTGTAACTGCCCAAGAGGTTGAACTATATGTTGAAAGAGGAAGTTCTTTTGGAGCGTAACATGACCCTTTAGTGCAGGATTATGGCCTTCAACCTAGTTATTAAAGCTGCAGTAGGCAGAAGTTTGGAAAAGGTAAAAGTAAAAAAAACAAACAAACAACACCAGAACTGGAAAACACACCAGAGGAATTCTTGAAATTCAAACCGCATTCTCCTGAGTGAAAGTCCTCCATCTGATCCACTGCAGCACCAACACATTGTTATTTATACTTTCTCACCTGAGTAAAAAGCTCTGTGATTGGCTAAAACCTCTTGTCACAAGCTACATGTTATGACCACAGAGGCAGGACAGTGTGCAGAAGTCTTGTTTTCTCTCGAACTGCTTGAATTACAACATGCTAAATGGTTGGTGTGAAATGTTTTGCTAAATCAAGCCCAAAAAACACTGCTTTAAGTCAGAAATCGAATGTGTTTATAGTTGTTCTGAACAGCCGCACTGAAAGGAGGGAAAAGCCTGAAGAAGCCGACATAGAAAGGAGTAAAGGCATGGTATACTTTTAAAGGGCCAGTGTGCAGGATTTAGTTCTGCTGTGGGGTTGCAGAATGCGACCAATTAAATACCCCTCCCTTTCCAAGCATGTAGGAGAACCTACAGTGGCTGCCACTTCAACGTAAAAACATGAAAGTCCTTCTGAAGAGCCAGTGTTCGGTTTGTCTGTGCAAAGTTACTGTAGAAGTAAGGCAGGCTCCATGAGGTGTTAGTCAATGACAAATCATGGGCTTTAAAAAATGACTGTTTGACACAGACACACTGGAGGGAAGAGGAGGTTTCAGTATAGACAGACTTGCTGTGTAGTTTCTCACATTGACGTTAAGTTACTTGTATTCATTCCACTCATATCACTGCAATTCAGTGCTGTTCCTGTTTGAATCCCTTTTCTCTCCCCAGAGAAAAGGGATTCAAACAGCAAATGTTTAAGCTACATGTTAGTCAGTATTATTTACTGCCTAACTTTAGCTGTGATCCTTGCAAAGCTGCAGTCATTCAGTCGATCGGGCTGCACTGTGCTCATTTTAACTCTAGCAGGTTTCAATACAGATCTGAATTCAGGTTCAGAAGAAGTGTGAATAGTTGTACATTTCATAACTCATTTCAATTATGGACAAAATGATAATTCAGAAAGGATCTCTCGAGATTTATGAAACAATGAAGCAGCCTTTGTGACAGAAAAAGGCCATTCAGTGCAAAGCAAAGCACTCAGAATGTTGATTTCATTCCTGTCCGGATGATCTTGAATGACAGACTGACATTTCCATACATGTACACAGATGCACACAAACAAAGAGGTGCTCTTCCACCCATACAAACACACATGCACACACACACACATTCCCATGTCACTGCTTCACACACGCGCAGCACACTTAAACAGATGGTCACACATGCATATCAAATGTAAAAATCTGCTCACACACATAAAGTACCTGCAGCCACACACATAATTATACCCTATATGGCAACACAGCCGCACATAAACACGTTCGAGCGCATGTATACGGTCCAAACACACACATGCATTTGAGACCGGTACATAAAAATGCACGTACACACACTGCAGGGGTTTGTGTGCACAAAAATGGGTATCATAAAATGCATTTTCTCCTTTTCATACATTTGCTAACACTCTCTCTATCACACACACACACACACACACACACACGCACACATACACACCACAAACCAGCCCACACATACTTAGTGAACATACAGTGTATGAGTCGCCCATCCCCCCACATACACGCATACATATATGCACCCCTCCCCTCTGAAAAAGGCATAATTCACTTCCACATTCTCCTCCCCCACACACAGTTCCTCTCTATAAAACTCCACACACACACACATGCTTACACTGTATGTACACACTAAACCACATATCGCACTAAACCGATCAAACGTACACTTAAAGACTTACATACATTCACACGCTAAAAACACAACATATACGCCTACACACACACACACACAC